AGAGGGTTGACATGTTGTGGGGTTGTTAACCAATGTCATAAAACAATATGTGTACTACTGTAAGCCTTCACCTGAAGTACAATAAAAAAAATAGTTGAAGAAGAACTAAAAGGCAATATAAACTAGATGATTTTACATAAACACATACGTTGAGGAAGTGAACTTTAAAGATAAACTTTTGCAGGAATATTACTTTAGCAAATTCCACTTATAATATAGATTATCATAAAATACATAAATAAATGGATGGATGGATGAACACAAGACCTGCAATATTTCAGATATTCAGTATAAATAAAAGAATAAATGGTATAGACCCTACCTTCTGAACATCAGCATCATGTTTCTGTTGTAGCTTAAGCTTCTCTTCATGAAATTTCGCTTCCACTATTTTTGTCTTCATATCCAACTTCAAGGAAAATATTTTAAAAGTATTATTAATTTACTCTTCCCTTTGGCAAGAATACACAATTAAAATAACTCCTAATATGAAAGACAGTATCATTTTCAACTTCTACCTTGTTGCTACAAGTTCTAGCAATCATATTACGTATGCCTATATGCACGTTACATTATTTCAAGTACTTCTAAGCTAATTGTATGTCTTCAAAATAAAGCTCATTTGGTTGGTGTCTTAGTTATCTAGTGCTGCTATAACAGAAATAGCACAAGCAGATGGCCTTAACAAACGGAAGTTTACTCTCTCACAGTTTACAAGGTTAGAAGTCCAAATTCAAGGTGTCAACTCCAAGGAAAGGCTTTCTCTCTCTGTCGGCTCTGAGGAAAGGTTCTTGTCATTAATCTTCCCCTGGTCTAGGAGCTTTTCAGTGCAGGGACCCCGGGTCCAAACGATGCGCACTCCTGGCTCTTCTTGTTTGGTGGTAATGAGGTCCCCAAAAATATGTGTCAACTTGGCTAGGCCATGATTCCCAGTATTGTGTGACTGTCCACCATTTTGACATCTGATGTGATTTTCCTATGTGTTGTAAATCCTACCTCTGTGATGTTAATGAGGCAGGATTAGAGGAAGTTATGTTAATGAGGTAGGACTCAAATCTACAAGATCAGGTTGTAACTTGAGTCAATCTCTTTGCAGATATAAAAGAGAGAAGAGAGCAGAGAGACATGGGGACCTTCCACCACCAAGAATGCAGAACTGGGGGGAGTGTGTCCTTTGGACCCAAGGTCCCTGCAGTGAGAAGCCCCTAGGACTCAGGAAGATTGATGACAAGGACCTCCCCCAAGAGCTGACAGAGAGAAAACGCCTTCCCCTGGAGCTGGCACCCTGAATTCAGACTTCTAGCCTCCTAGACTGTGAGAGAATAAACTTCTGTTTGTTAAAGCCATCCACTTTTGGTATTTCTGATATAACAGCGCTAGATAGCTAGGACAGTTGACAAAACTAACAATACTGAGTATAAATTCATCAATTCTCTCTCCTCCTGCCTCCTCTCAAAAAAGTCATTGTGAAGTTATTTTTTGCTTTTAAATTTAAATCTACGGTATTTTAGCCTTAATTAATTTTAATTTTATTGTTTCTATCCTAATCTTCCAACTATTTTTTCTCACATCTCTGTGCTCAGTTAAAAATACACTTAAAATATTTGCCTACATACTTAAATATGACGAGGTATGAATGAATGTCCATAAATATGGCAAATGATGATAAATGCACCTCTCTCTCCAGTTTTCTCCCCCAGACTGTTAGACCCTGACTCCCTGAGGGCAGTGACTTTACCCCCTTTATAGCATTCATCAACAACTCCCATCCTCCTCAAACAAACACCACATACAAGTGTTCTGAGCATGGTGAGAATGTAACCGATGCTTGAGAATAATAATAAGTGCATCCTAGAAAAAAATTTTCAAAACAGCAGTGACCAGTTTTAAGAACAACAACATAAAGTTGATTATCTCAAACATGAAAGTATTTCACTACCTGATTGCTTACTATTTAAAAGAACATGTACATTGGAGTCTGACCTACCACATTTCTAATTCCAATCCCACCACATATTAACTGCTGTGTCTTTGGGCAAGTCAATACTTTGAGTCTCTCTTTCCTCTTCTGCTAAATAAGGAAAATTGTCCCTACCTCAATGGGTTGACAAAATTACAGTCAATGAAATAGTTTAAGTGATCATACACAGTACAATGCTTGGCACAAAGTAGGTATGCAAAAAATACTACTTTATAACCTTCAAGAAAATTTTCTTTTAAAATATTAGAAAAGTATTATCAATATATTTTATTGAAAATTTTTTAAATACACTTTATATTTTTTCCAGTGCTGTTTCAAATACAAAATGATAAATCTGAACTTAACGAGATAAACATACATGATGAAATCTATATATTAAAATGAAATTTAAATTTTACAAATAAAAGTTAACTTAATATGAACATTTATGTTAACACCAAATAAAATGAAATACTTAGGTATAAATCCAACAAAATACATATAAGATCTATACGACAAAAACTAGAAAACTGATGAAAGAAGCCTAAGAAGATCTAAATAATGGAGAGATATTCCATGTTCATGAATACAAAAGACTCAAAATTATTAAGATGTCAATTCTTCCCAATTAGACCTATAGATTCAATGCAATCCCAATCAAATCCCAGCAAGTTATTTTGTGGATGTTGTTGTTGTTGTTAGGTGCCGTGGAGTTGGTTCCGACTCATAGCAACCCTACACGACAAAGTAGGACTACCCTACAGGGTTTCCAAGGAGCATCTAGTGGATTTCAACTGCTGACCTTTTGGTCAGCAGCTGAACTCTTAACCACTACGCTACCAGAGCTCTATTTTGTGGATACGGATTCCACATTTTACGGAAATTAATTCTAAAGTTGATATGGAAAGGCAAAAGACTCCGAATAGCCAACACGATAGATGAAGAACGAAAATCAGAGGGCTGACATTACCTGACTTTAAGACTTACTGTAAAGCTGCAGTAATCAAGACAGTGTGGTACTGACAACAGAAAAGACAAATATATCAATGGGTGGACAGAAGAGAGAGCCTAGAAATACACCCACACAAATATAGTCAACTGATCTTGGGCAAAGGAACAAAGGCAATTCAGTGGAGAAAGGAAAGTCTTTTTAATAAATGGTGCTGGAACAACTGGACATCCATACGCAAAAAAAGAAAAAATAAGAATCGAGACACTTATCTTACACCTTTCACAAAATTAACTCAAAATGGACCATAGACCTAAATGTAAAACCCAAAACTATAAAACTTCTAGAATATAACATAGGAGAAAATCTAAGTGACCTTGGATTTGGTGATAATTTTTTAGATACAAACCAAAAGTACAATCCATAAAAGAAAAAATTGGTGTTGGACTTCATTGAAGTTAAAAAACTTTCTACTATTAAAAGAATGAAAAGACAAGCCAAAGACTGGGAGAAAATATCTGCAAAACACTTATGTGACAAAGACTTGTATCCCAACTATTCAAAGAACTCTTTAAAATTCAACAATAAGAAAAGAAACAACCAATCAAAAACGAGTAAAAGATCAGACACCTTACCAAAGAAGATATGCAGATGGAAAATAAGCATATGAAAAACATGCTTAACATCATGTATCATTAGGAAATGCAAATTAAAACAAGATACCACTACACATCCATTAGAATGGTTAAAATCCAAGCCACTGACAGTACTTAGTGTTGGCAATGAGGAGTAACAGGAACTCTCATTCATTTGCTGGAGTAGCGTAAAACAGTACTACTTGGAAATCAGGTTAGTGTTTTATCCAAGAGAAATGAAAACATAAATCAACAACAACAAAACCTGTACACTAATTTTTATAGCAACTTTATTCGTAACAACCAAACTAGAAAACAACCCACAGGTTGATTAACAGATTAATGGACAAATTATGGCATATTCATAATGTCAAATACATTGTGTTGAGCAAAACAAGCCAGACACAAGAGTAAATAATGTTATGATTCCACTTATATTTATCTTTTTTGAAAACAATTCCATAAACTAGTTCTCTTTTCCCTGTCTTCTGGTTCTGCAAATACTGCTTCATTTTTCTAATTTGGGTCCATCATCTCTGACCAATAGTGAACATAGAACATTACAAAATCTACATACGCCACATAAAATATTTAAGACACTCTTTTCTGTGGAAGAAAAAAAAAGAATACCTACAAAACCTATGCAATTTGAGGATAGAAAAAAAGTATATTTAATATAGATATCCACATATATTGGCTGAAAACATCATAGGCACTAAATCACATCTTTATAGTCTTAACCTTAACTTTAAATGATAAAGTCTCTGAAAATGTAGAACAAAATTCTAACTCACAAAAAAAAGACCAGCCTTACTGGCCTGACAGAGACTGAAGAAACCCCAAGAGTATGGCCCCCGGACACCTTTTTAGCTCAGTAATGAAGTGACTCTCGAGGTTCACCCTTCAGCCAAAGATTAGACTGGCCCATAAAACAAAACAAGGCTAAAGGGGCACACCAGCCCAGGGGCAAGAACTAGAAGGCAGGAGGGGACAGGAAAGCTAGTAATGGGGAACCCAAGGTTAAGAAGGGAGAGTGCTGACATGTCGTGGGGCTGTTAACCAATGTCATAAAACAGTATGTGTACTAACTGTTTAATGAGAAACTACTTGCTCTGTAAACCTTCATCTAAAGTACAAGAATAAAAAAAAGATGAAGTCTCTGAAATCAATGCAAAAATTAGAGAAAAATTAATACATGAAGCCATTATCAGCCATTAACCCATGATAATTACATTCTTCCAAAACACGGTGGTTTTAACTTTTGTCTCTTAAAAAGCTTTTTTTTTTTTTAATTAAAGGCTCCTACCTTTTTCAGACCCACATTGTTTTACACATTGTTTGAAGCCACATTTCACCTTGCTGATGTTTATTTAAACTTTATAAAATCCCAATTAAGAGCTATCAGACAAAATTTGCTATGTTTAAATATCTAGCTTTCTTCACAAAATATTATTCTTTTTCTTTTTTACTAATAAGCCTTTAAGTGACTAGTCCATACTTTCTACTTATCCTTCTTCCTTTTCTTTCATATTTGCCTTTCACCCTTTATCAAAACTGTAGTCTCAAAGGTCACAATGACATAATTTTCATCTTTCATGCAAAGGTCCTTTAATCACTAAATCTGACGGTAGACTTCATCGTTTCCTCTTTAGCAATCTGCACTATGATCATCCTTCTGTCTTACCTTGGCTTTCGTTGGCTTCAGTGACACGGCGCCTTTCTGGCTCTCCTCTTACTTTTAAGAATGTTTCTCTATATCCTTTGCATTGTCCAGTTCTTCTTCCAGTTCCCAAAGGCAGGCATTCTCCTTTATTTAGTCCACAGTCATCTTCACTATATATAAACATTTGCTTTTGGTGATCTCA